GCAGACCGGAGAGAGTGCACCAGAATCAGTCGTAGTTTTATGATTGTTGATTGATGTTGAAAGAGAGAAGAAACTCATAATTTAACCACAACGAGAATCTGTGGAACCGGCAGCGTTACGGTTACTTTACTGGAGTTTGTGAGCTTCTCTGACATGCACACACACACATGCAGAGGTAAACACAAACGTATCTCTAATTAACACACAGGCTGCCTCCTCTTCAGCAACTTTAAGAGACTTCGGAAGAGTTTAGATCCAGACAAATGAGGAAACTCAAGCCAGCAGAAAGTGGAAAAATGCTCATCTTCTCACAGCAAAGAGCACATTTTAAACGGAGCAAAAACATTTTAACTTGGACTGCCGCTAATTGTATTAACAAGTCCATAAAACGGATCCACAAAGTCAAAACTCTGAAATGTCCACAAAACGTAATCCATAAAAAACACCAACCAAGACGGGAAATTCAATCCGCATGAAAAACGGCAAACAGATTCTTTCAATCACCTTTTACTCTACCTATTAGGAGTCTATTATCAATGACAGCAGTAACTGAAGCGTGAGGTGGTTTCTGTACATGTAGAAATGTGAACATCCATGTTTAACCTGAACAGAAACCATGGCGACCTGCTGTAAATTGCAGCTGACCTGCTAATGTGTCACTCTCTGAGAGCTGGTTGATCACTTCTGTAAAATTCGACCGCAGAGGCAGAAGGTCTAATAACAGATAAAAGGACGGAGGGAAGGTAGAAGATGAAGGAGCAGATGTGGAGGGAATGAAGGGGAGAGAAAAAAAAAAGGAGGAAGGAAGTGGAGAAGGAAAGGAGAGGAGATGAAGGCAGGGTGGAAAGGAGAGATGGGAGTGAAAGAAAAGCAGACAGTGGAGGAAAAGGTCAGAGTGGAAGAGGAGGAAAGGATGGAGACGAGTTGGAGAGGAAAATGAAAAGAAGAAAAGGAGATGAAAGATGCAACAAGAGAGGATAGTAAGTGATAAAGGAGGGATTAAAGAGAGGAATGACAGAAATATTGAAGGAGGAGAGGAAGGGAAATGGACAAACAGAAGATATGAAAGATGGACAGATTAGTAAAAGGAAGAAAAGAGAAGGAGAATAAAGGGAAGAAAAGCAGAAAGTGGATAAAAAAGGAGAAGAATGTGGAAGAAAGGAACAAGAGGAGATGACAAAATGTTGGGGGAGAAAAATAGAAGAGAAGGAAATGAGAAGAAGACAAAGAGAGAAAGATAAGGGAGGGAAAGGTGCAGAGAAAAGAGGAAGAAAAGATGATAAAGAACAAATCAAAAAGAGGAAAGAAAAGCAAAATTAAAGATAAGAAGATGGGAAATGGACCTACCTAGATAAGAAGGAGTAAAGGATAATTGAAAAAAATGGCAAATTGAGATGGAGAGAGGGAAAGTGGGAAAAGGAAAAGGTGAAGAGGAAAAGGGACAAGAGGAGGAGATGAAGAAAGGATGGAGAGGAGAACAGGAGAGAAGAAGATGAAAAAAGGGAGAAAGACAAGCAACATGAAGGAGGAGAGGAAGGAAAATGGTCCTATACTGAGAGGAGGAGGAGGAGTAAAGGGTAAGAAAAAAAAGAAGGAAAGGTGGGAAACAGGAATAGAAAAGGCAGAAGAAGAGGAATGGGAAAAGGTGAAGGGAGGAGAGGAAGAGATTCGAAATGACACAAGAAAGACGAGGAGGAAATGAACAGGAAAGAGAGGTGGGGGAAAGGTTGGGAGGAAAAATAGACATGGCAGTAAAGGATGGAGGAGAGAAGAAAAATGGAAGAGGAGAGGAGAGAAAGGAAGCAAGGGGAGAGGAGAGTGGAGAAGAATTAGCTGTCCTCTTCCACGACTCTCATGGGATCCTCAATCTCAGAGTCCAATTTAAACACAAGGCTTCAGAGATGGAGCGTGAAAGCGAGAGAGAGAGAGAGCGAATCAGAGCGAGGCCTCAGACCAGTCCGAGGACCGGTCCTCGATAAAACGCCGAGCTCCGTCCTCGGGTACTTACCTGTCTCGCAGCGACGTCCCGTAAATCCTGAAGGACAGACGCAGGTGTTGGGAGACACGCAGGTCCCTCCGCTCCGGCAGCCCTCCTCACAGAAAGCTGGAGAAAAGAAACAGAAAATGGATTAGCTCCACTTCGTGTCCCAAGTTTGAAATCCTGCCATTTAGGATGTCGTGAAGGCGTTATGGGGTGCAAAGTAGATCCCCTGACTATTTTTTAAAAGGAGTGTAAAAGTTCTGGGATGCTTTTTTCTCATTCACATGGGCTTATAAATGGTGTTTTTATGTCGCTGTGTGTTGATGCATTTGAAAGAGGCACATCACTAAAATAAAAAAAAACAATAAAAAAAAACCTGCAACCTGTTCTACTCAGATTTAGTTTTGGTTTATTGAAAGATATGAAATTCTTCTTCCGAGCTGTAAAACTATCAGACTACGTAAAATGTCACCGTGGTTAGAAATGTCTGAGAGGGACACGGGCAACGGTGAGCTGCATTAATCCACATTTTTTTTAATTATAACATTAGCTTCCTCCATATTGGATTCTTCTTCTTTCTCTTCCCTCAAAGGTCACCGCTGACAGGATGGTTTGGTCAGCGGTGGGGATTAATGTGTGAAAGTGCAGCGAGAATTCGCTTCATCTCAAGGAGGCAAATTCTGGGAATGCTGCGATTCAGTTGAATTGATTTTGGTCACAATTGATGGCGTCATGACGAAACTCCAGACGGTACAGACTGAGGACATTCGTTATTCTCCACATCACTATCGCTCATGCTTTTCTTTGCCAACCATAATGGTAAAGGTCATCTCAAAAAAGACCAACAATCAGAAAAAAAAAGCAGAAATCGAACACGGCAGCACTCTCTCTAAAAAAATATGTTGGTATAGGGGATGAGGGAAATGTATTTCCTTCTGGTTTGTGATGTACGACACGTGTTTCGTCACCTTGGTAACCCAGGAAGTGGAGGAGAAGTCTCAAACATGTTGTGAAAGTGTTGAATCTATTTCCTGAACCTCATCAGGTGTTCTGAGAGGCAACGAGACGCTTTGTTCTCTCATTGACTTCTGGATGGCGTTTTTATCTTTACTGTGTGTTGATGCATTTAAGACAAATTGCATTTTGATGCTTTTACAATATTGTTTCTTAAAACTTTAACAAAACCCTTTATGATGAAATTAGTTCAACTGAATTAGCAAATTAAAAAAGCATATCTTCCAAAAACAGCAATCTGTTCCTTTAAATTGCTAAAGATTGCCAGCTACATGATTTGGAAACAAAAAGAGAAATAGACAATATGAGTGTGTCCAGTCATGAACACAATATGGAAGCTGACAACACAAAATGTGGGGGATCCTCTGTTTCTTTTCTTTTTCTTATAAAAATTTTGAATGAGGTATGAAGGTGTTTGTAAAACGTGATGTAAAAAAACAAATACTGTTAAAAAAAAAACATACTGTGTGCAAAATAAAAACGTAATGTAATAAAATACATTGTAATAATATATAGTGGTCAACAAAGTACAATGTGATGGGTTTGCCATGAAGAAAACATGTGAAAAGGTCTGAAATGTAAAACTGTACAGTGTGAGAAGTTGTGTAACTCTTCAGTGATTCGCTGTTTAACTCCAGCGCTCGCCTCTGTGCTTGCAAACATTCCACTAAAACAAGATCCCCTCAAGATGATTTTGGGTTGTTTAACAGTGTTAAATTTACGGCGGCCATTTTGCCAGCATTCATTTGCATGTTAGAGACACCGTGTGCCGTTCTCAGTGTGCCTCTGATGCAGCTGGCCAGTCACAAGGGTTCCGGAACATCAGATGTTCTGGAGTGGAACCTCTGAGGGACAAATAACCGGCCACTGAGACAAAAAGCTCACAACTGCCAAGACTCTCCAGACCAGAGCACACTCTGAGAAGACTCACAACTTCTTGACAACCACCTTCTGCAGAAAAGTAAGACCCTCTACACAGGTTTAGTGCAGCACAGACCAGCACAGCATCAGTAACAGCATTAACCATCAACTGTTTTGTTCCTGTAGGATCTTTCACGAGACTCTCCAGACCAGAGCAACACCTTGATCACACTCAAGACTTCTTGACAACCAGCTTCTGCAGAAAAGTAAGACCCTCTACACAGGTTTAGTGTCGGGCCCGACCCATATGGATTCTGATATTTGGCAAAAAAACCCCAAAAATTCTGATAACCGATTAATCGGCAGATTAATTTAAAAATGTACAGTGAACAAAATAGCTTCTTTTTTGTTCCCTTAACACTTAAAACAACAAAGATATGAATCACAGGCAGAACATTTTACTGTTTTACACTTTGTCCTTTACTGTTTGTTTAACTTTACAACAGAGAGGAATTTTCAAGAACAAAAACATGCAACAAAGCGTTAAACATAAGAAGCATCTGTAAAAAAAAACAACGTTTTCTGAACAAATATGTCTGTAATGTGGGGGTGTTTTATTTTAAATGTGCATCGTGCATTTTTCTTTCTATGGAGCATGAATACAGCTACCAGCTGTACTGATGAGTTTATCTTCAGGTTTAGGCCACAGGTGTATATGAGCAACATGATGAGTGAAGCTACTGCAGAACATTATTTATTCAGCTTTCTGATGTTCTGGTCTCTCAAAGACTGTGTTGTCTTTATTTATTTTATTATTTTATCTTTATTGAATTTCCCTTCTGGGATAAATAAAGTATTTTTCATTTCATTTAATTTCATCTCATGTCTTTAAAGTTGATGAGACTCAGTTAATAAAAATGTAAGTTAAATAAGTTGGTTAAAAAGTTTTCTGTAGTTCTCTGAAAACCCGTCAGTGAGGCTCTGTGCACTGGTTTGGTTTCAGACTTTGCGGCAGAGTGAGAGATCTCACCGCTGAATGTTCCTCAGCGATCTTAATTCTTCATCATCTCCGAGTTTGACTTGTTTACTAAATAAAACTGTACAAAATGAACGTCTGAAAGCGACTGTGACACTTAACAGCATTTACTGTTTTATGAGAAATTAAGAATATATCAGCGATTAATCAGCAAACTCCAGCCGATGATGAGTATTTTGAAAAGGACTATAATCAGCCGATTCAATCAGCCACCCGATAAATCGGTCGGGCTCTAGTTTAGTGTAGCACAGAGCACCACAGTCACAGTGTTAACCATCAGCTGTTTTGTTCCTGTAGCATCTGTCCCTGCTGATAGAATGGCTTATCGAGGCAACCCGAGGCCCAGAGGATGGTTTGGTGGCGCTCCTACCCATGAAGGAAACAACTTCCGGGGGAGAGGCCCCTCTGGTGCCCCACAGACCACGTCTGTCTATGAGGAAATACATTTCAAACTCAAGGACAAGATTAAAGTCTTGGAGCAGCAGCTGAAAGAGCTCCAACACGAAAACGCAGAGCTGGTCGAGACAGTCAGCAGTGTAGATGTGACGATCAGCCGTCTGGAGACTCGCCTGAACTCCAGCGAGGAGACAGCAGAGGAGCAAACGGAGCTGCTGGCCCTCCGAGAGGAACTACAACAAATGGAGGAAAAAAACAAAGAGCTCCAGGAGAAGAAAAACCTCCTGGAAGCAAACAACACGAACCTCCGAGGGCAAAAGGTGGAGCTGGAGGTAGAACATCAGGCGATGGAGGAGGAGAAGAAAGTCTTAGAGCTGGACAAGCAGGAGCTCCAAGACGAAAAAGCAGAGCTGATTGAAAAAGTCAATGCTGGAGAAGAAAAAATCAGCAGTCTGGAGATTCACCTGCAGTCCAGCGAGGAGGAGAAAATGGAGCTGCTGGCCCTCCGAGAGGAACTACAACAAATGGAGGAAAAAAACAAAGAGCTCCAGGAGAAGAACAATCTCCTGGCAGCAAACAACACCGACCTCCGAGGGCAAAAGGCGGACCTGGAATTAAAAAATCAAATGATGGAGGATGAGAAGACAGTCCTAGAGCTGGTCAACCAGGAGCTCCAGGAGCTCCTGGTTAAGAAGTCAAGATGG